TCCCGCAGGGAAACCCGTTCCTGCTGTTTTTTTATGAATTGATAAGAGCAACATTGGCCTTCATGGAGTACCATGGGTTCCCCCAACAATTTGTTGAAGGCATTCCGATCATACAGGACCCATTGACCCCTAACCCAAGACTTCTTTATGACTTCCCCTTTGTCAGGATCTCTCCTAAGTGGCCTTGCATTTGCATAAAATTCTTCTACAATTACCTCATTCAGAAATCTGTTTCTCTTCAACAGTTCCAGGATCCCCGGAGGAATAGTGGTCTCTACCTCCTCCTCATGGCCTTCTTGTTGGGGCTGTTGGGAGGCCTCTACTAGAACCATGCCCTTGCACTTTTTGCTAGCAGGAATTTGATGAGTGGGCTTCCTCAGAGGCATTCTGAAAAATAGAAAACCAGTACACAAAATAAGGGAGCATGTTAAATTAAATAAAAGATAGAAGAAAGGTAGTAAATGACACCAATTTATTGAAACAAGAGAAGAAGATTAAAGAAACAAGACATAAAACAAGATTTCCAAAGAGAAAAAAGAAAAAAAAAAGATGAATAAGGTATGTACAATCTGCATCAAATTCGCTTAAGCCTTTTCAGATTGGCTTAAGTCAATTTGAGACAGAAAGCAAAATGTGACTTGTTGAAAAAAAAAAAATAGCTTAAGCTAATCTGTAATGGCTTGAGCCATTTTTCCCAGATTCAAAGTTGCTTCCCGTGTCAAATTTGGGCCAAACTAACAGAAGTACAATCTGGAATGTTCTGTCATACCAGTTTAAACCCACTTGTCATGCCTATGTGATGAAAACAAATGCATCTACTGCACATGCAATTTTCACTCACATATTTTACAACCAATAGCATGCAACACTTCACAATTAAGCATACAAAACATTTCAAACCACTTGCAAAACAATCAATTTCCCATGCAAATCAACATTCAGAGGGCGTGTCAGCCACTTGTAACATTGCAAGTCTCAAGGTTTACAATGTCAACCTTGAGTCCAAAACAAACTCCCACATAAAAATAATCTCTCAACTCGGTAGCTTGTTTAAAAAAACACAAATTTAGAATCTCTAATGAGAGCCCACATGCAAGACCAGATCCTTCACCCAAAAAGAAGCAATTGGAATTATACGTTTAGTTTAGAATCCACCATCTAGCATTAACAATATTACAAAATCCAAAAAGAAGCAATTTGGGTTCTTATATTGCATATAAGCCACATGTAAGCTATTATAACCTTTTTCAGTAAAAGGATGCGTAAAAACAAAACACTCTTTTACTGCAAAAGACTAAACAAAAGAAAACTAGTGCGTAAAAATAAGACCTTGAATTCTTGAACTCCAGGCTTAACAAAATTAAACTAATTCCAATCAACCCCAAGTTAATGCAATTTTCACAGCCACCAGACACAACCCATCCAACCCCCAAATGCAAAATAAGTAAGATAAAAGAAACAAATTTACATGTCAAAAAGAGAAGAAAAAAAAAATATTACTACCCACAACAAACCCCTAACCCAAATAGAACAAATTAGTTGAATAAAACACAAGAAGCCCCACAACCTCCACGTGCAAATTCAGATTCATAGTAATTATAATTAATAAACAAAAACATTTACAAAAAAAAAAAAAAAAAAAAATTATAACCTTTTTCAGTAAAAGGATGCGTAAAAACAAAACACTCTTTTACTGCAAAAGACTAAACAAAAGAAAACTAGTGCGTAAAAATAAGACCTTGAATTCTTGAACTCCAGGCTTAACAAAATTAAACTAATTCCAATCAACCCCAAGTTAATGCAATTTTCACAGCCACCAGACACAACCCATCCAACCCCCAAATGCAAAATAAGTAAGATAAAAGAAACAAATTTACATGTCAAAAAGAGAAGAAAAAAAAAATATTACTACCCACAACAAACCCCTAACCCAAATAGAACAAATTAGTTGAATAAAACACAAGAAGCCCCACAACCTCCACGTGCAAATTCAGATTCATAGTAATTATAATTAATAAACAAAAACATTTAAAAAAAAAAAAAAAAAAAAAACATGGGTCACCAGACGTATTTATCACCATTACAAGGGTCACCAAAAGTGCCTCACTATCCAAATCAAGTCACATGCAAACCATACTAAGGCCTGGATCCACATGCAAATTCAAAAATAAAAAGGACCAATGACCCCATGAACATGCATGTTCCCCACTCCAAAATAACCACCCTAAGTCATTCATTCTCCCAAACAAATCAAACCCGTGACCAACCTGAATGGGTGAACTCCAAAAGAACCACCCTAAGTCATTCATTCTCCCAAACAAGACCAACCTGAATGGCTTTAGATGCCGGTTCAGAAATATTGTAAGAAAAACAACATACACCAGTCCCAAATGGGAGCACCAAAGCACTCAAGGAACAAGAATGGCTCCAAAAAAAGGAAAAAGCAAGCACGTGCAATAACATGAATCTTCTGGCGCTCATGAATGCTTTAAAAGTTTAGGGGAGTTGTGTTCTAGGGTTCTCTTTAGTTTGGGGGAAATTAGAGAATGAATATAAGGGATGGAATCATGGAAATACGATGAGGGAGTTGAACAATACATACAAGAATTCTGAAGGCCGATAGAGATCAATTTAGTGGCAGTGTTGTAGGACTTAAGTCTAAAAACTTCAGTGATATCAAATTTTGAATGGAATGAAATTTGTGAAGAAACCAATGAAGAAAAACCAAAACATAACCAATGGAGTAAGAAACAGATTTTTGGAAAAAGAACTAATTAACAAATATTTAATATGGTTTTACTTAACCACTTTTATAGGAATTCGTTAATGAATCTCAACTATTTATTAAATAACTTTTTTAGGATAGTTGAATAATATGTCTGCTTCAAAAAAAAAAAAAAAAAAAAAAAATATATATATATATATATATATATATATATATATATGTCGTGTAGTACAATAAAGTTGGACCACAGGTGACTCATAAGTTAACGAACACATCTCATTTGTTTTGGTCCTTAGTTGCTCTCTCTCTGTTTTGGTCTTTTTTCCTATATAAAAAAATTATTTTATAATTTTAAATATAATTTATTTATTCAAAGTATACTCATATTTAATTAGCAGTTTCTTTATGAATTGTTCATTTATTATTTTACAACAATAATATAATAGAGTTGAGATAATAAAAAATAAATAAGAATTTTTTTGTGTAAATTTATATTTATTTAAATATTTCTTAATTTATATGTATTTTTTTATCCATAAGAATTACAATAAAGTTCTTATGATTATGTACATATTATTCTAACCTCTCATTATGAAGGCATCTTTAGTGATTTTACTTCATATGTATTAATAGTAAATTTAAAAAGATTAAAAATTTAGGATGTAGGAAGTATTTTTTTTATAATTTAAAAATATATATAAAGTATCTTTGGGGCATTTATAATTTTTTAGGATTAAATAAGTTTTTAGTTCCTAAACTTTTTACGAATTCAATTTTTAGTCCTTAAATTTTTTGTTAATTCTTAGTCCTCTATTAATTTTTTGTCATATAAATTAATTTTTATGGTTAATTCTTTTAATGAGACTAGTTAGAGGATGGTTGATTCTTCACTCCAATTAGCTTCTTGTTTGCTCCCAACCTTCTTCTATAGATTCTTGAAGCTCAAACATCTAAAAAATGGTGGATTATACTAGAGATGGATGTGCCACTACCTTGTAGAAAGATAAGTAAGAGTGAGGTTCTTGCCACAAGGAGAATTCTTTGGTAAAAGAACTTAATGAGAAGTTTCTCCTCTAAAGAAAACTAAGGACTTTGGAAATGGAGGGATATCCAATTTTACTCATATAAATCTCAAAGTGCCTATAAATATTATAAGGGATGATGTATTTATAGGGGTTGGTAGCTTGTAGTGCAATCTAAGCTAATATAGGTTAGAAATAACCTAATTTAGGTTAATTTATACTCAAGTTACTAGCCATAACCCTAACTAGAATGATTCAATCAACCCAAACTTTAATATCACTATCTTAGATCTAGAATAACCAATGAGAGTTTGTCATATGGACAAAAAAGAAAAGTGTGACTCATGACATTATCTTAGATGTAGAAGAGCCATTAGGAGTTTATCATGTGGCACATGTGTTTTGTGTGACTAGGCAAGGTCATGCAACTTGTTGGCTTACTTGGATGGACAAGGAAACATGTGGTTCCCACATGTCTTAACATCCAAAACACTTGCACAAGATAAGTGGATGTCTAAGCCATGGTATAAAAGGTCAAAGTTGGTCCATCCAAGCCCAACAACATCCATTTGACCTTGTATAGTTCACCACCTAAAATACTATTTACATCCTCAAATTTAAAAATAATACAATGGCAAAAATACCTATACCACATGACCCAAATACAAGGTCTACAAATAGGAAATAAGGTAAAAATACAACAAGAGAGAAAAGGCTAAGAAATAAGCTTATAGCCTAATAAGACCTTGGGTCTTCTAACTTCATCAAGATCCCATTATTTTTGTATCGTCCTTGACATTGTCTTTGTGATAGATCCAGTGGTAGACACTATGTCATCATCTTCTTTGTTAATTGATAATGTTTGTTAATAAATAATGATTGACTCAACTATTGATGTTTACATGATTACCTAATAGATGTCAAATCATATGGCCATGTCCTTGGAATATACTCTTATTTGTTAAGTGATGATGTATGTTAATAAATTATACTTGACTCAAATATTGATGCTCATATGACTATTTAGTTGATGTTAAATCATATGACAAGTATAATTTTACTATTCATTCATAGTTACATGAGTGAAGATTTTATTTTAGTAGCATTTTTTACTTTCAAAAAAATAATGTCTAATTATGAATGAATAGAAAAATTACATGTGTCATATGATTTGACATTTAATAAATAACCACATAAATATTTATAGTTGAGTCAGTCATTATTTATCGGTAGACATTATCAATTAACAGAGAAGACTTAATTCTAATGACTAATTTATATGATAAAAATGTAATAGAACTAAGAATCGAATTCTTAAAAAGTTTAGGGATTAAAAACTTATTTTTAGATATTTCTTTAATTCCATAATAAGTGTTGTCTTAGATTACAAACCAATAAAAAAGTATTCCTTCTAACCCTTATTATATGACTCAAATAATTAATCTACTAAGATTAATAAATAATTTTTACTTACTTTTTCAACTTAATAAATACATTTAACAAGAGTATTTTTGTAAATTAATTAATTAATTAATACTTGGAAAATAATGGATTGGGTTTTAAAAAGAACCAAATTATATTCAAAATTTTGAGTTTTACAAGGAATGGAGGAAGTAATAAATAGATGAAAAATAATAATTTTACAAAATTAACCTTCTAACTAACTATTTTTACTAAAAATGATGCAACATAACAACTTCTTTTAACCGAATATTACGAGGGAGTACAAATAAAAATAATAATTAATATTACATTAAAAAAATAACATAATATGATATATATTTTGGAACTTATTTTGTTTTTCAACATGACATTTATTATGAAATGAAAATAACTTTTTAAAATTATTATCTTTGGGTGTGTATGAATGTTATAAATTCCTTGATCTATTCACGTTTAGACATTCGATATAAAGTGAGATTTAAATGTACATTTATTATTATATACCAGAAGAAGGATAATGGGTTTTAACATGGTTAAGTTGTATTTTTTAGTTATTTTATTTTATTTTTTAGGTTTTTTAGTCATTTATGTGTTAAAATGTTCATTTTGGTCACTCATCTTTTATAGTTGAGTTGATTTAGTTCCTTTAAAGTAATAATCATTTTTAATTTTGTAACATAATTTTGAATAATTTTTTACTAATTCAATATGTAAAGCTTGTAACATTAAATTCAATTATATAAAAATTATGAAATGCAATTAACATTTAAATCCAAAAGAACTATAAATACGGTGAAAATCATGTGAAAATATATCCCATGTACAATTATAAAGTAATATGAAATTATTTTTTTTAAGATTGATTATCATCATATTTATAACATATTTGATTTGAACTTCAATTATATTCAATAGTTTTTATAAAAATAAATCTTATGAGACAATTTTAATGTTTTGAATCAGACATAAAATGATTCAAAAGGACTAAATGACTTAAACTTAGGAGATAAATGACCAAAATAAACATCTTAAAAGATAACATACCAAAATGAATATAAAAAACAAGATAAAAGATCAAAAGTATAATTTACTCATTTTATTAGTATCAACATGTCATCAATGAGATTTTCAATTCATCTTGGTTTTTATATATTTATTTATATTTATAAATTTTAATTTTGAAATTTAAAATTTAATATTTAAAAGTAAAATACTTACTATGCATAGTTTATAAGAAATGGTGGTCATTTGTATAAGATATTTTATAATTTATATGAAGTATTAATTCTATTTTCATCTTTTATCCTTCCTAAAGATTGTTCTTAGATAATGAGAAGAAAATTTGATAAATAAATGTCTTTCTCACCTCTTAAACTCTCCAAATATCATCTGTTAATTTTATTTACATTAGTGCAAAAACTTTGATATAGAATAATATCTTTAAGTCTCTCTTAAAAATTTAATAATAAGTGAAAAAGATAAAATTAGTACATCATAACTTTATTTTATAGATCTAATAAAATAAACTAACATAATTTATTTATATCAATTTTTATGATTTGATTAAAATTACATTATAATAGGGATATGAGAAAGTATAATTTTATAATATGAGGATTTTTTTTTGTGCAGTTTTTTCCACCCAAACTAACGACATTTTAGATAATTCATTTTTAGCTATTTTTTTTATTTATTTAATAAATTATATTTCCTTCATCTCATAATAAATATTGTGAGAAAAAAAAGTTTTAAAATAACTATTTTATGTTATTTTTCAAAAAATTGATCTTCTATTATATCATTTTTAATAAAAAAGATTGATCATAAGATTAAATTAATTTTATAAAATTATTATTCTCTTCATCTATTTATTACTCCTTTTGTATCATAATGTGTCATCTTATGTTATCTTATACATATTAAGAAAAATTAACAGATAAATAAAAAAGAATAATAATTCTACAAAATTAACTTTATGATTAATTTTTTCTGTTAGAAAATGCAATACAGACTTTCTATATAATATTATTAGGTGTATAACACTGCATTGAAAAGTTAATATAATATTTATTTTAATATTTATTTTCTAATATAATAATTATTATAAAACAAAGTGAGTATTTTTTTTGTCAACATTATAATATGAAATGATACTTATTATAAAAACGAAGAAAGCATTAACTAGTAAGACATTTAATAAAAAAATACATTTAAATGCACATTTATCAAACATCTGGAAAGAATAATAAATTTTATAAATTTATGCATTCATTACCTGATTATTATACATTCATTTATTATATTTATCAATTTTAATTTTAAAAATACAAGCACCAAATTTTAAAATTGACTAAAAGTAACCAAAAATATTAATATTTAATTGTTCTTTACTTATGATTGTAACTATCTATTATAAAAGTTTTTATTTTATTTATGAGAATCGAATTTGATATATAAAAAAACTTATAACACTCACATGCACTTCACTTAACCATGAATCATATGTTATTAGTATAATAATGTGATGATTACTTTTATTTTTTTCTGGCTAAAAAAATACTAATATACTACAAAGACACTTTTGATATTACCTACCGGAATACCAGAAGCATGCTGATACCAGTAACAATAACAATTCTAAAAATTAGAAATGAAACTAACTCCAAAAATAAAACATTATAATATTTACTTTACTTCTAAAACTTTAATTTTAAATTTAAAGTGAAAAAAGAAAAAAAAATTGCATTTGAGAGTGTTTTGGGAAACAAAACCTTATGTTGGTGTGATTTTTGTGAATTTGGACATAGAAAATAGAAAGTCTGTGTGGGACCGCCTCTGGGATAGTACAGCTCAGGTATGATAGTTTGTATACTTTATCAGTTCATTAAAGTGATAGCGCTGTCCACTTATCCTTCCTGCCAGCCTGGCTACACTCGTATCGTATCTCTGTAGACGCCGTTCAAGTGTAAATATTTCTTTTTTACATTGTTAATTCGTAATATTATTTATTCCAAGATTTTAGAACATTTTATATTTAATTCTTCCAAATTCATTTTTAAAATAGTATTCTCAAATATAAATTATCAAAATTATTCTAATATCTAAAGCATCAAGAATCAATAATCATATTGAGCAAATCATAACTAAATTTCTTTGGAGATGTTGAATCAATCAATCTGGTGCTCTTGAAGCGGAAGAGGAATGGTAGGTCTCCAAGTTGTGCCATTTGGACTGTCCATAAGAGTAATACCAAGAACAGCCATATCCTTCCTTATTGCATCCGATTTAGCATACTCCTTTTGTATTCTGGCAGCAGCCCTTTCTTCAATTTTCTGCAACACTTCGTCTTCTGTCAAGTTTGCACGCATTAAAGCTTTTTCCTTCAGCTGCTGTAAAACCTGCAGCATTAAACAACGATTATGAACGATAAAGATTAAGCTTTTGGCAGAAGAATTAGGATTACGTAGCACAAACAGATTCATAGAAACAAAATCTCAAACTCATTCACACCATTAGATTTACCTCGTATAAAACCCACCAACTTTGCAAGCATGTTATGTTTTATATATATTGCAGTATCAATAAGGAGAATTTTGTGTCGGTCTATTGTTGTACCAACCTTAGACTGGGTGGAAGTATTACTGATTGTTGGATTAATCCCGATATTTAATCCAATGGTCAATAATGCAGGGGGTACCATGAAAGAATGGCCATAGAGATACCACCGATTAAACACCAGGTAACAATTGAATGGGAATTCAAGAATTTATAAAAAAAAATGGGAGGGTTCACTGAGCCAATCCTTAACCGAGTGGGAAAATGTAGAAAATAGATCAGAAACAGAATTGGAAGAAGCAGAAGTTAATCTGTGTGAAACAAATAAATAACCTGTAAAGAAGAGGTTGAAGTGTTCAAAAATAACAATTACACACCAGCAAGAAAAAAGAAATTAGGGATTTCTATCATGTACACATAAATTAGGGATTTCTACTCCCAACCCAAAACAAATGATGGGATATATCATGTACACATAAATTAGGGATTTCTACTCCCAACCCAAAACAAATGATGGGTATTATCATATCTCACGTATAAGAATTAGAAAACAGTGACGGAAAGCAATCATTTCAACATATTCATACCTCGGAGTAACTTGCAGGCATAAGTCCTAAAACAATAAGGACATCCCTGATGCTCTTCTCCAAAGCTGCAAGTGATTCTATTCGAAATTGTTGTTTTTTCCCCTGAGAAGATTATGAACTTGGAAAAATTATTCAAATAATCATCCACAAGATATTTCAAAGATGCATTTCTAGCACTGAAACTCTGAAACAACATAATTAGAGACCACATCTTTAGAGCTGCAAAACCATGAAGAGGTCTGCAAGAAACCCTTTTGTTCAACCGTTGCTAAAGATTAGATTATTGGCATCATATAGCACTTGGCAAGTAAACAACTTAAAACATAGATTTGTTTGAAGCAAATTGGATTGTTAAAGATACAAGTGTAACCCAAAATCTGAAGTTCAATGTATTGACATTAAACTAAAACCAAAATTGCACACCAAAAATATGATGAATTACTATGAAGATTATTCATTTCCAAACCTTGACCTCATTCAAAATAATAAAAAACTGTAATTAGATAATAATGTCAAAAACACAGGAGAAAATATTGTTACCTTACGGGTATGCAGCAAATCATTAATTGATTTTAATGGATCAGACATTCCAGCCAATACAACTGGAGTGTGAAGATCATCCGACATTGAGGTCAGAAAAACATCATGGAACTTATTAATAATATTCAAAGTATCTGGTGGGACAGAATCCTTCCTATTTGTCTGATCATGCTGATTCAAAAAGCTTTCACATTCATGTAATGTCTGCAAACACATGAAACTTTCAGGACACGTCGACACAACATATAGAATGACATTATAAAGATGTAAGCCCTATTTAGAATATCTGGGAAGCAAATGCATAAAAGATGAAATATGCAAACTGTATAGATTATGGAAGACAAACAGACAAGCAAACATATCAAGGAGAAATAAGGTAATAGGAGTTCGATAATGGGGGCTCATCTAAAGAAAGTAGTACCTCATATACATAAAAAACACGGTCTGAAGCACTTTCAAGCTGTATATTTGAGTAGTTGATAGGAGATCGATAATGAGCGCTCATCAGAAAATATCTCAAAGCCAGTGGATGGTAAACATCTATAACCTAATAAAACAAAGTTTATGGAATCAGAATGTAACCCTTTGAAAGGTAACCATCAACAAATAGAAACTGCAGATCCATAATGAGAGTTTATAGTTTTTGTCCAATAAAAAATGACATTAGCCTTAAACAGGATAAGTTTAAACCATCAAGAATGCGTCACCTGACGTATTGTGAAAAAATTTCCCAAAGATTTCGACATCTTCACAGAGTCGATGGTGACAAAACCATTGTGCATCCATACGCTAATATCACTTTTCTTACAAGCAGCACAACTCTGAGCAATTTCATTCTCATGGTGAGGAAACACAAGGTCGATTCCTCCACCGTGGATGTCAAAAGAGTAACCAAGATAAGTGGCACTCATGGCACTGCATTCAATATGCCACCCAGGTCTTCCAGGACCCCAAGGACTCTCCCAAAATGGCTCCCCAGGTTTTGCAGACTGCAGAAGAGCATTGGAAATCCACAATAAATAAGTTCTAAACTAAATTGATATTTCAAAAATATAATAATGATTGATTTGTAATTGTAACATATAATGAAATCAACATATTTAACAGATGTGTAATCATTATTATTCAACACAGATATATTATACCTTCCAAAGAGCAAAATCAGCAGGATTTTTCTTCCTTGAATCAACTGCAACCCTCTCACCAGCTCGATTATCTTCTAGATCTCTACTAGATAGTTTCCCATATTCTGGAAATTTTTCTACATTAAAGTATACATCCCCTTCAACAACGTAGGCATACCCATTATTAAGAATCTGTCAACAAGCATATTAACTTATCAACAATGAATCAACATCATATTTCTTAAGCAGATTAAGAGAAGAGGTATTGATAATAAACTATGAAGAGAAACATTTCATATACCAATAACATATCCAAGTTAGCTTTTTTAAAATGGAATATGAATAAACAGACTAAAAATTGTTCATCTTCTTGCATCAATTTCTATGCCACAGTGAATGTACAACAATGGTACCTTCTCAATCATATCAATGATTTGGGGCATGTGCTCTGAGACTTTTGGTTCCACAGTGGGAGGCAGACAATTAAGAGTTGCCATGTCCTGACAGAACTCTTCACAATAGCGCCGGCTCAAACTAATTGGATCTTCTCCTAACTCCGTTGCTCTAGCAATTATCTACATAATTTGAAAAGTCCAGACTAAGATCCTGTAATAGCAATTAAAAAGCAGTGGGTACCTTGCATTTGTAACAAACGGATATAATCATAATTCAAAACTTCTCAAAAAAGTTCTTAGGGTCTAAACAGAACGATTAAAAAAAATTATTTACATGATAACAAGTGACTGTCCCCAACTTCATTTCCCTCCTCAACTCGGTGTAAAGTTACAACGAATGCTTAGTTCCAAAAATAACAATTTGAAGGTTTTTATTTCTTCTTTAGCTGTCTTGCTATTAATATTTTGAACAAGCAAAAAAACTTAACAACTTAAACTCATCAATGAAGTCATCATAACAGGAGCCAAGCAGAAAAAGGAAAGTAAATAGACACTGACCTTGTCATCTACATCAGTAAAATTGCGAACATAACAGACTTGAAATCCCAAATGGTTAAAGTATCTGCCTAATTGCCAAAGGGAGAAAACCAATTAGTAGAAAAAAGCAAAGGAGGGTAAGGTTGAATTTGAAAAGTGAAGAGAAGAGAATAGAGGAACCTGTAAAGAAGGTCGAAGTTGATGTATACGCGAGCATGTCCAATATGGCTGAGATCATAAGCGGTGACGCCGCACACGTACATTCCCACTTTGGATTCAACTTTGGGTTTGAACAGTTGCTTCGTTTTACTCATGGTGTTGTGCAGCCACACCTCTGGCGATGGACTCTTGAAGGGCAGAGCGTCGGCGTGGGATTTGTTCTCCGTCGTCAAGGGCGGAGAAGAGCCGGCGCAGAAGGAAGAGAGGTTTTTCCTGGTGAAGGTGGAAGCGCGGGGTGTGGGAGGGAAAACCGCAGAGAAAAAGGGTCTGTAGCACTTGAGAAGAGACAGGGTACCCATTTGCACCTTCTCTCTCTTTTCGCCCTCACAATGAACATCACCGGATTCGCACTCTAATGTTATCGTTTATCAGCGTACCACTTAAATGCTTGTCTTTGCTACATGGAATTTTATCATTGTTTTATATTTATTCTCCAATAATAATCTATGCTAATTATAAAGTAGATATTAATATGTGTAATTATTTTTCTCTTTTCTTTTTAGTGGATGATTATATTTTTAAACATTAAAAAAATCATTTCTCATATAATTTTTAAATAAGCATTTATTTTTATTTATTTTTAATTTAAAAAACACAAATTATCTCTTTTCACTATTAATATATAATGACGGTTTATACTTTTTTCCTCAAAATTTTGTTTATCACTAAATTAGATATTTCAAGATTTATTTTCATCAGCATGTTGACTTATTAGATCTTTAATAATATGTTTGGTTTAGGTGAAGAAAAGAAAATTTTAATTGAAGAATTTTTTTTTTAATTATTTATAAAAGTCTTCTTTCTTTTTTTTTTTTTTTTTTCAAATCAAGTAAAAGAAAATATATGTTTATTCAATTTTTTCACACCGTAGATTGAATTTTTAAATGATTAATTGGATAACCATTTATTTGAAGAAATTAATACAATTGATAACATGGATACTTAATTTTGAAATGTGGAATGTAAGGTCATATCCGATTAGAGCTTTCAATTGTATTTTTGAATATAAGAGCAGAGTTTTGTAAATTTTACCACAAGAACTTTCTAATGTGGATGATATGATGTAAACCGTTTTTATATAAAAACTTTCAATAATTGATTCTTATCAATAAAAAACAATATTATTCTTATTACTTTTGTTATTCTCAATTAACTGTTTTAAATATAAAAAAATGTTGATCCTATTGTAAAATTCATATAAAATAAATTAAAAACTTAATTTAGATTCTTATACTGAAAGTCTGAAACACAATTAGAAAAAATAATTCTTAAATCTTGAATGATACAAAAATTGGGTTAAGAACAAAAAACAGATTTCACCACGAGAAAGCTAAACCAAACTCAACTCTCGACTAATTTTCAACAAGACAAGATCAGACTGGATAGAAAACTTATATAGTGTACGATTTGCTTTTGTCAGTACATCAGTGCATTTTGATGATGAATGAGTAACAGGCGAAACAAGATCATAGTTTCTGAAAATATCAAGTATCTCCAATGGGCTAGATCAGCTGGTCTGTACTTACTTTTTCAATTATACAGCTATTTCAGAATTTGGACGCTTATAGCTCATCAATCTAAATTTCTCTCGAGTTTAAAATATCACCCCAATCAGATATTACACCGATGACTTGCCGTCTTTAACATAACTAGCAATCATACTCCCTACGGTCCTGTTCCTCTTTTTGGTTCCAGGTTCCGAAAATTGAACCAAGTAGGATGGTTTATACTATATTTTACCCTCCTATCAAATAGCAAAAGGGAAAAAAAATAGATTGAAAGAAGAAAACTGAGTAGATCAATGCAGCCAAAATAGATCATAAATCACTTCCTTTTTCTCAAGAGGACCAAAAGTGGAAATTAATAGTTTCTACAAGCAAAAAAAAAAATTATCCATATTAGCGCATGGTTATCAACATAGACAAAAAAGTGAGCAGAGTTATGTAGAAGCCTACTCCTGAGTGTTCAAATCAAACATATAAACATCTCCATCAGAAGTTTCAAATTTTAGCTAAACCCCAGCATAAATAATCAAAAGATTTCTCTCGGTACCAATTTGAAATAAGAAAATTCAACATTCATCAGATGTCATATTTTTTCAGCTCCTGCTTGAGGTAACCACTAACCAACTTGCTAACGGATTTTCCTTTACTCAGATACCTAGTTGCTTCTTGCAGCACCAGGTAATAGGCTTGCTAAAGATGGAACTCCTTGATTTCTCATTTCTTCTTGTGCACGCCTCATTTCTTCTGGGTCTGTTTCCATGAAAATGCAATGAAGCCATCAGCATATTTTATGCAAAGAGTAGCAGAATATGCTGCTTTATAATATGAATCAACTACCATTTAGCAGATTGTCTATAAAATAAGCAAAGAAATTCACAAAATCAAAAGTAATGTTGAACAAGATTTTTGAAATTCAAGACTTTCATCATTTTTTCCTAGTTTATCAGAGTTTTGACCAACTGGGAATTAATGATTAGCTAAAAGTTTTTCCTGATGAACTCATCAAGTTTGATAACCATGCAAGAAAAAATCAGCAGAAGCCTAAAAGAAGAAAAGATGCATATCCTGGCCAATAAATTTTAACAAATATAATGTATTCACATAAAATAGCATAGCTCAAGCAGGATTGCAAGGCATCCAATTACGACTCAATAATAAGAGAATATTTGGGGAGAAAATTTTTTCCTCAAGAATAGAGAGGGAGAAAGATAGAACGCATTTAAGATATTTCAACTTGATATAAATCACATATGCTAAGAAACACTAATATCAACTATGGGATAGGAGTAGTCACGTAAACTTTTCCTTAAGAAAAGAAGTAAACATTTCACCCATATCAAGTACATCCATATATAGACATGCAAAAAAATTGCATAAATTGCAGATAAATTTTAGAAGGCATACCCATGTTCTCCATTAATTTAGGCATGAGGAAGACAACAATCAGCATAAATCCCACCATCAGACCCATTGGACTTTTCACAACGGACATAATAGAGAATGGCTCTCTAACCTGTAGCAAGACAAGATATGAAGATAACACCGTGTAGATGATAGTTTTAAGGAATGGGGAAGGGAACAGGGGAACACAAACAGGAACTTTGTAGCATAAACCAACCTCATAATATTGTTCCTCCTTTAATGGCTCTAAGACAAACTCAGTAAGCCCCCTCCTATTTTCTGTCAATGCTGCTTGAATTTTGCCATGGTGTCTAGCACTTACATCAACTCGTACCTTTTTTTATAATGAACACAACAATTTAATAAATCAGCATACATAGAGAGTGTATATATATATATATTAGAGGAAAATAATTAAGCTGTAATTTTCAGGTTGAGTGTCCACCGGAGAAAAGAAATAGCCTATTGCAGCCACTTCAATTAGATGTGTCCCTGCAGAAACATTGTGGCTTATGGCGTACACATTAAGGAATTAGATCATTTCTTAACAATGATTTGCCAGCATTAACTACAACTTCTTAAAATCAAGAACATGAAGATAAAGAGATAGAAATAAATAGAACTTAATATCCAAAAAACAGTCATCATGGAAATTAAACAGAAGTATAAATTAAGCAGAAAATCAAAGGATACAATGAGAAATATCCATCAGGCCTCAGAAAAGTAACTCTTTGACCACCATTGAGTAAGACTTTGACATTTGAAATTTTTCCAGGAAGAATATAATCTTTTGTTCCCACACCTGCCAAAAAGATTTACCGATATCATTATACAAGCAGACTTATAGGCTATACTGCTATAGCAAACCCGTGTGTAGCCAATAGATATGCAACAAACAGTATGCAATATGCATCAAGCATAATAAACAGTTAAATTTTTCTATTTCACTGGTAACTAAACCATCAACTTCCATAAAACCTGGCTAAATCTGACATAACTAAACTCCATGAGTCCATGCGATATACTTGTTCAATGACAACACACAGTAACAGGTTAAGAACTCTATCTTCCTATTACAACTGTTTGAATATAGTTCATCAAAGTAACTGATGAGAGCAACCGCCAAGCTTTAAACCCATCCACATTCTTAATTCAAATGTGAATTTTATGGTCTAGTAGACGCATGAAATTTCATCAACTAAAGATGACAAGATTTGTGGTCAAGTAAAATAAGGTGTGTTTGTCTGTGAATCCACAAGAATTTAATTTAAAGAAGAAAAAAAAATCATGTTATACAAGTTGTGTTTTTTGTCCATGGACATGTTTCACGCATTGTCCCAATCATGTAGTACAAGATAACTAGGTAACTTTAGAGAAAAAGCAATTCTGGTAAATTCATATGAACTTGATCTGATTGACCCAGGTACCACTACCAGTCCCAACAACTATTCAAAATCAATCTTGATGACAGGGCATAACCTATATTGTCTTATTGTGTAATAAACTGTTACAGATCGAAGTTCAATAGTTTTGTTCATCTAAAATTGAATGGAATACACACTAAACTATAATCGGGATTCAAAATAATAATAAAAAAAAAGTAAAAGTAAGAACGTACTGGGGATCTTCACTCGACCATAAATGGTGTAACCTTCGGCAGACCTGGAGAAATTAGATTCGTTAAAATTAAGGACAATAGAAAACAGAAAGGAAAGTGAAATTAGGGTTTAGGGAATAGTGAATTGATACCCAGAGGCAGGGGATTGCGCGAATGAGTAGGGCAGAAGTGAGAAACACAATTGTATGAAAAGAAAAAGTATTTGTGATCTGATGAAGGCCATAGCAGAATTTCAATGGTGATCTAAACCTTTGTTTTCTCAGCTACACCAAGACACTGTTTTTTCTTTTTTTCTATTTAAACCGCTATATTGTTGCGCTTTTTTACACGCACGCTCCAAAAGTCACACGTACTAAAAAAAATTTCTCTTTTTTTTTTTCGGAGGCTAACTTTTAATAGGTTTAATTAATTAACTTTTGATCTTGTAAATTGTAAATAAATATATAAAAAAAAAAACCTGCATAATAAACTTATATCGACAGTTCAACATGTACGTTTGAGTATTTTTCGTTCCAATTTTTTATATATATTTTTTTAAAAAAATAGAAAAGATTATAAAAATATTTAATAAGAATTGAACTTAATTTTTATATTTTTAACTATTTCAACCCTTTTTCACCCATCCAGATTAATCTTAATGATTATTTATATATGTACGTTTGAAGAGTTTGTAAAAAAGAAGGATTAATTTAATGATTCATCAAATCTCAACTATAAAGAAAATAAATAACTATTATCTACTATAGAAATTCAAACCAAGGAGATGTATCAAATGATAAAATCATTTTAGGTGAGAATGAAAAGGATAAATATTAAATTTAGATCTTGTTATAATTAATTAAAATATATAACTTATGTGATTTTCTTTTTAAAGTTATGTGATCTTTTTAAGAGGTTCTATGACTTTAAAATTTCTTAATATTAATTATGTGATTGTACGATTTAAATTTACTTTTCTCACCTTCATATAAAAATAATATTTGCACTAAATATGTTTCCTTCACATCAATAAATATGAGAGATAAGATAAATTTACAATATATGTCAAACTTTGACACTTAAAACACCCAAAAAGCTTTTTGTAAAACACAAAATTAAATAATCAACTATTGAACTCAGTTTTTACAAAGTATGCCAAGTTTATATAAATCAGAAACTAATTAAATCTTCATCGTACTGATATATTTTAACGAATAGTATAATTTTAGAATATAAACAAGTGTCTATTTGCTAGATAACAACTCAATGAATGTTTGAATTATATAAAACTGGATATGTATGATTTTAATTTGTGTACAAAATTCAACGAATTGATATATTGATTTTATATTCTGCATAAAGATATTAATCAATTCATATGTTCAATCACTTGATATTATCTTTATGATAATTTATATCAAATTTTAAATAAATTAAACATTTATTAGTTAGTATGTTATCTATAGATATTTATTTATATTTTTAAATACTATATTATTTGTCAAAATAAAATAGTGCAGGTGATTAACAATGAGTTTTGGATTTGCACAAAAATGTATAAACTTAATATACTTTATAAAAAAAATTAAATAAGTTAATATCGTATATATTTTATAAAAAAAAGCTATTAAGTAATGTAAAGATAAAACTTTGACATCAATGTTATTGAAGTTAGACTAATCATCAACTCAAGATATTAGGTCAATAGATTGTTAGTCAGTCCAATAAATTATGGATTAAAGTACATAAGTTAATATATATCAAATTTGTAAATTTTATATAAAAATATTGTATATGAATTATATTTGTCATATAAACATTAAATAGATACTCTAGTATAGTAGCATGAGTTGTTAAAATAAATATTATCCCTAATCCTATACCATATTGTTTATTTAGTTTTTATACAACAATATGATTCATATAATGCAAAATTACAAGCTTTTCATGAATTCAAGTAGTACTCACTATTTTAATTAGTAATCATAAAGAGCCTAATTTAATTAATTGAAAAAGATACATAAATTGTTATAAATTTTCTTAGAGTATTTCTAATGGAAGCAACTCATTTGAGTTGCTTCATGCATTGAAAAGTGTAAAAAGTGATCTCTAGTATGTCACGTCAGTATTAAATAACTCAAATACAAATTTACTCTAATAATAAGAAACTTTAAAAAATTCAACTTTTATATTTTTTTTAAAAAAAATTTTAAGCTCAACGACTTTTTTTTTTTTTCTCAACCATCACTCTCTTCCTCTCACTCTCTATTTTTCTCCATCTCATTCTCTTCCTCTCTCATTTTTCATTTTTCTCCCCCTCCCCACCACCCATTTCTTGACACTTCCATACGACATGCTGGCCAAGATCACCGCCTCCTTCGACGACCCTAACCTCTACACAATATCGCTCGTATGTTGTGCCTAGTGGGGGCCGTTGCGAGAGGCCATGGTGCCACTCCGGTGGGGGAAGCGCTTCAAGCACAGATGTCACAACGTCCGTCCTCGCCGTCAAGGCTCTCGACGCCTTCAATAAAGCCATCACGCGCAGCTCCGCCCTTGCTGTCAAACCCCGCCTCACCCCCTCCCCGCGGATCTCTTCCCCACCAAAATTTAGTAAGCAACAGTTACTTGCAGAAACAAATCTCTCTTTTCTTCAAGCAACTCATATTACCACGTAGGAATACTCCAATAAGAAAAAACTATCCCTTGAAACAAGAAACGGGACAAACAACTCCCATTGAAATTACTCTTAGTTCCAACTCTCATAAATAAATAAATAATAGTAATTTATTGACCTAATACCTAAAATGAATTGATGGCCAACCAACTCTAATAAAATTGCTTTTAAGAAGCAACTTGACATTTTTTCCGTTAAAAAAAAAATTGATGGCATTTTAAGAAACTTAATGACAAATATAAGACATGAAAGAACCAATATGATATAATTATATATCTTCTATAACAAAAAAAAAAACAATTTATCCTTTAAACAGTTTTTTTGGTTATGTTCACATTAATAAATGCACTACAAATTGAAAGAACTTGTTCTAAGAGAAATGAGGTACATCATATCACATCTAAAAGAAAGAAAGAAAAGAACCTTAAATTATATGGAAAAAAATTGCATACTAGAAAAGTAAAATTACTTCATTACATCCATGTGATTTATGACTAAAAGATCAACCTATCATGAATACAACAATAAATCTCACTCTAGAACCATATACACAAAAATAAAAATAAAAAAAATACAGCACCCAAAAACCCCATTGATTAAGGATATACATTGTTGTCTCGTGGTACAGCACCCTATCAGAACAGTGGACGGATGAAGGACCGAACAAAGAATCATTGGTGGAAAAAATAATATAGCTACAATCCCAATTTCTTCGTCAACCAATCTGAAAGATTAGCTATTACAAAGCCTGCAAATACCTGCAATTCCAAACCAATTCCAACATTAATATGTGAACAAAAATGTTGAAAATGATTTGTCTCCATTAGTCAATAGTTAATGTTTTGCTGGACAAAATTTCCCACTTCATGTTTAAATGTTTAATTAATAACAGAATTACAGAAAAGTTAGCATGCATAAGGTCAAACAAAATGATAATTATCACTCATGTCGATCACCCCTTTTCACCAACCCATTCATGGGTGTTCAGTTTTGATTAATTTTGGAGGACAAATGTTTTCTTTTTTAAAAGTGTTGAAATGCAAACAAAGTCTCACATCATTCAAACAAGAGAATGGACATGTGTTTATATACACGTAATTGTCTCCAATGGTAGAGAGACATTTTAGATGATATCCAAAAGCAAAACCGTGAGGTATAGGCCCAAGCAAACAATATCTTACTAATGTGGAGACATGTGTATGTGTACAGTAAATCCTAATTTTCATCCCTAACTTGGTCCCTAATCATGGCATGTATCATCGTATTAATCCTTAAACTTAAGAAATGCAAAATACAAGTCCTTGATCTATTTTTTGTCTGTTACATTTCTGGTTATTAGGGACTTGCATCAAATAAAAGCACAAATGGCAGACAAAATTGACTGACAAAAGCATAGGTAGAGGTTGAGGACTTGTATTTATGTTTCTTTAGTGTAGCATCTAATATGACAATCCGTGCCAAGATTGGAGATGAAAATGGGGTTTACTTGATGAAATTCACTTTCTTAAGTTACTTGACAAACAACTTAAAAACACAAGGATGATAGGGTTTAACAGTATATTATTCACAACGATTTATAAAAGACAAGACCAACAACAGGCAAGTTAGGGACATGCCCAAACAAACAAGCAGGAAAACAAATGTAAATTATCTGAACAGATATTGAACTGCAAGGATCATCATAACACCAGGAGGAAAGTAGGACCCTATTTTATGTATATATATATATAATATTTTTCGTTTGGCCAAATAGAAGCAAGAATCCTCCCACAGGCACCAGCTGAAAAGAAAAGTAGCTGATATATTTGGAGATAATAATACCTGAGCTGAGCCAAGAACATATACTGCTGAATAATGCCGACCATGAATTACCATGTCAGCCACCATAGCAAGAGGAATGGTGAGTGACATACCCAAAGTGGCTACAAGGGGAGTAGTCCATACAACACAAAGTGCCCTGGATAGATGAAACGAAATCTAATATAAGATTTTGAACAATTGCAAGTGTTTTAATTAATATGGCTTTTCACGTACCAGAAGTAGTCTGAAAGTACGCTTCCAATAAATCCATTTGCAAGAACCACTTCGTCAACTTTAGCAGAGTGGGGAATGGTAAATTTGGGTTCAATTCCTAAGGCCATCAATGGCCAGACTGTGAGAAGTATAGAAGAGAATGAGCAATCTGTTTAGTGTAGCAATGTATAGATTTTTCATGGCTGAATTATAAATGAGTACATAAAGAATAGTGTGCTCATAGAACCTCATTTATGTGACATTAATGAGTAACTACAGGAGCATTAATAAGCAAAAACTTACCAAGCCACCACAGTGCTACAAGTGTAAACAATCCAATATACCCAAACAGCTTTTGCACATCAACCCTTTCTCCTTCTTCACCAGAAAACTTCTTAAGAAGAACTGCAGTAGTAATGATTGAAGAACTGGTCATGATCTATCTAAATTATCTGATAAAAACAGAAGAAGCTAGGACATTGCTTAACCTGTAAATAGACCATATGACATAGCTGAGAGAATTCCAAAAAGATCTCCAACTAAAGAGTGCTTTCCACTGCTGAACAGAAATACTATAACTGTCAATGTCCCAAAAAAGCATTACAAAGAACAAGCTGATAAT